CTCCAGCCCCCACGAATGTTTATTCTTGGGTGAACAGACCCGGCACTGACTTTCCCTCGAAGTCATACACCAAACCTGGGGGAGGTGGCTCAGGTGACAAGGCCTGGAAATGTGACTTCTCAGCACCAGCCCTGGGCATGGTCTTAGTGATCGGGCATGAGGGCACCGACTCTTAAGGGTTTTGCTGAGTGGCTGAAGTCAGCTTCTGGGCCTTGTTTGCCTCATTCATGAGGACAGAAAGGTGCTGAGCCACCATGGAGGGACGCGAGAAGGGGTGTGTGTCCTCAGGGTGCTTGTCTGGGAGAGTCAAGGCTCTATCTCCCAGCCGGTTCCCAGGCTGGCTTCCTGACTCTTGGCTTGGGCCTGGGAACAAGGGTTGTGCTGGTGCAAGCCGTGAAATGTGAGAGACAGAGAGAGAGAGTGAGAGAGGGAGAAGAGAGAGGAGGAGGAGGAGGGAGGGAGAGACAGAGACACAGAGGAGAGGAGAGGAGACAGAGAGAGGGGAGAGAGAGAGGAGAGAGAGGAGGGAGGGAGGGAGGGAGAGAGAGCACGCTCAGACAGTGAATTTATTAAGAAACGCAGCCCTGAGGGCTCCGAGTCGAGAGAGACAGAGTCCCATTTGCTGAGAGGGTCTCTTATTTTCTTATTCTTTTTTTAAATGTAGGAGTACTGCTATTTATTCAGCCACTGATTAGCTGATTCAATTGGGCATGAACTCCACCTTAGTGTTTTCATAATTTTATTTTTCCCTTTTATTTATTTATTGAATCACTGTGGGAAAAGTTACTAAGCTTTCAGGTTTAAGTCTCGGTCAGACAATGCTCAAACACCTTTCCCTTCAGCAGTACTCATTTTTCAGCACCAAGAACCCCAATATACCCTCCTCCAGCCCCTCCCAATGCCTCTGAGGCAGATGATTTCTACTCGACTCTTCTGTACATTGATTACATTATTTCAACAAAAGATGCACCATTATTGTTTAGAATTCCCCCACCCCCCCAACAATCAGAATTGCTGAAAAGGCATTGTGAAATACTTTGTCTTCTATAGCTGGTTACGAGAATCATATAATGTTGTGCGGCCGCTATTGTGGCTGCGTGATTTTGGATTTCTGCAAAGAGCAAGATAATCGCGAGTTTGGTTTCTGTGTGTCTGGTGTTATGGCTGTGCCGGAGAGCCGCTCATGGGGGGCAACACGTGACCTCGGTAGGGTGTGAAGGACGAGCCGGTGTTGTCCCCCTTCCCATGCAGTTGCCCCTCACCACCGGCTCATACCTGGCTTTCCTATAAGCTCTGAGGCGGCGGCCACCTTGCTGCTGCAGGGGAAAAAGGAGGAAGGGAGCAACACCCTTTCCCTCCCGGGGAGGCATGGCGCCATAGTTTAACGCATGGTCCATTTAGTTTTCTGCTGCAAACTGTGGGCTCTGGACTAAGTCCTTTTGCCTCTGGAGCCATGGCCGTGCCGGAGAGCCAGCTGCCCCCCACGAGCGGTCTCTTATTTTCTAAGGGTGGGCTTTATCCCACGCACATCCTTATCCTGGCTCTCAGTGGAGCAGGGAGACAGAAGCACAAGGCAAAACCAGAACAACAATCCCCACGTCCTGCCACTCGGTGCGGCCTTCACGTGTGTCCCGGGCACCCCCGTAAACCTGGTGGGCCATTGGTTGAGCAGGGTCCGGAAAAGAAAAAGAAAACTGCTTCCTCCCGTCTCCTTTTACCCTGGGGTCAGTTGCAGTGTCTTCGTTCTCCTGACACAGGAAACGTGTAAATGGGGCAGTTGCGACTGTGTCACTGCTGGGCCTCCAAAAGGTTTTGCTGACTCTAGCACTTCTCAGATGGTGAGCCACAGGAACTGTGATCCAGACCACCACGAGCCCCTGGAATTCCCGGATGGTACTTTTTTGCTTCCTAGTTCCCTTCTGGGCTAGGACACCTGCCCCAGGGAAGCCTTTCAGAGGAAGTCTGGGAGCCCGTGGCTGCTAGGTCAGTAGTCAACTCCTTCTGCTCACGTGGCAGCTGACTGCAGGGGCTGGCTCGTCCTGTGGTAGGATCGACCTCATCGATAAATCTTGAAACTAGCACCAACTAGTACATTGGTTACAAACTAGTTTTTCCAGGGCTAGAGTGATAGCGTAGTGATAGACCTGGGCCCTACGCAAACAGGATGAGAACGCTATTCGGGTCTCCCAAAGAAGAATTGAAAGAGCTATGCTTGGAATATCACGTTTCACTCAAATGAGAGAAGGAATCCGGAGTTCTGACATCCGTCGACGATCAAGAATCAGGGACGCTGTCTCATTTGCCAAGGTGTCGAAAATCAGATGGGCTGGTCACATAATGAGATTTAAAGACGACCGCTGGACTATAGCTGTTACCGACTGGATTCCACGGGATGTCAAAAGACCGCGTGGCCGCCCACCTTCCAGATGGTCTGACTTCTTCGTGAAGATCATGAACGATCGGTTTGAGGCCCTTCATGTTCCCGGAGCGAACAGATGCCATTGGGCTACACTAGCACACGACAGGGACAAATGGTGACGTTACTGGCACCCGCTCGAGCAAATCGATGACTAACAGGAAGTTAAGTGATTAAGTGATTAAGAGTGACAGCACTGTGGGGAAGGTACTTGCCTTGCACAGAGCCGACCTGGGCTCGATTGCTGGCATCCCACAGGGTCCCCAGAGCCCACCAGGAGTGATTTCTGAACGCAGACAGTGGTTACCCCTGAGCATCGCCCCCCAGACAAAGCAACAAAAAGGGTCTTTCTTTTAAATCCCGAGTCTCTTCTCTAGACTTCTCAGGGATCTCATGAACTGCTTCCTAACCGCTTCTCTCTCTACCCATTTTTTTTTTTGCTTTTTGGGTCACACCCAGCAATGCACAGGGGTTACTCTGGGCTCTGCACTCAGGAATGACTCCTAGCGGTGCTCAGGGGACAATATGGGATGCTGGGAATCGAACCCGGGTCGGCCGCGTGCAAGGCCAACGCCCTAGCCGCTGTGCTATTGCTCCAGCCTCTCTCTACCCAGTTTCATCAGCCCTGTTCTCAACAAAGCCAGGTGCTTCACACAAACAGCACGGGCGAGGAGCTTTTCTCAGAGGAAACTTGTATTTTGGAGATTAAGGCAGAGTCTAATGCGCAAAAAACAAAGCCCAAACCTCGTCTCCTGAGTGCAGTTTAAGGTCCCTTGAAGGAGTGGAGGTTACGGTGTTCCACTCAAGCTGGACGAAGGGACTCATCCTGTTTTACATGGTTCACACACAGCCAGAGTGTTCCTGGGTCACACCTCAGAGCCCCCCGTCCGCAGCCTGACAGCGAGGGGGCAGGCGCGGCTCGCTTGCTTGGGGGGAGGTAGGAGATTCTGCAGCTCAAGAGATGTAGAACAACGTGGTTTCACTCTTCTCCAGCACCATGGATGAACGTGAGGGATCGCCACTTCTTAGTCCATGTGACAGTCCCAAGTTGGGTCCTGTTGCTTGAAGTTTGCATAAAAGTCTCCCACAGTACTCAAAGAGCTTCATGGAGTGGGGACGGAGGCAGCTCCTGGACCATGTTGTCATACTGGATTTGCCTCTTTAGACTTTTGGAGCTCAAGATGGAGGCCGAGCTCCTTCGAAAGTCAGAGGCTTGAATGCTCCAAGCCAACGCCAGCCTCCGTCCTCTTGATGCTACCGGAAGTGCTTCTGAAGCCGTGAGCACCCATCAGCATTTCAGGCCTGCTGCCGGGGGCTGTAGTCTTAATTTGGGGCTTGCGCCAGAATCTGTCTTCGGGCTTCGCTAAGGAACTGACTGGTGTCAACTCACAGGTCTGGCACACGCACCAGGGCAGATTCTAGCTCTTGCAGGTGTAATTTCTTTTTTCTTTCTCTTGGGTCACACCAGCAATGCACAGGGGCTCTGTACTCAGGAATGACTCCTGGCGGTGCTCAGGGGACCATATGGGATGCTGGGAATCGAACCCTACTTGGCTGCGTGCAAAGCAAATGCCCTACCCGCTGTACTATCGCTCCAGCCCCTCAGGTGTGATTTCATCTGTTTTCTTTCATTGGCTTTTGGCCCACACCTCGTAATGGTTAGGGCTTACTCCTGGTTCTGTGCTCAGAGGTGGCTTCTGGGGGTGCTTGGAGTGATTAAACTGGGTTCAGCTGCCTGCAAGGGAAGTGCCTTCATTTCTGTATTCTCAGGGAGGCGTCGTGTTTTCTCAGCTAAACAAAGGTCAGGAGGCATTCACAGAACATCAAAGCAAGCCACTGCCTCACTCATTTCTCTAGACCCCAGGGCCCTGGAGGCCTGGCCAGCAGGCCATCTTCGGCATTTTTCTTTACTAAACAGAAACGCATTAGTGACCCACAAAGTCTGGACCCTCAAGTCCTGACTTGTCCTTGTCACGTGTTTGGTGTCGTGGGTTACTCAGACTGACCGCAGCCTCGCTGCAGAGAGGAAGGAGAGGGATACACCTGTCAGGGGTGCCTGACCACTCTCTTCTTTGCCCAGAGCTAATGGCAGCTCCGCGAGAAGGGCAGCATTTGGGAATCAGAGCGTGGCAGCCTTACGAGACGTCCAAGGCAGACAACACCGCGCTCCTCAAGGTACTTGGTGGGTTGGCTGGTGCTTTTCTATGAGATACTATATACTTTGTGTACACGGCACACAATGTTTAACTACTTTTATTTTATATATGTATTTGATATATATAAATACAGATTTAGGGGAAACCTCTAGACTATTTCCTCAAATAATTGACATAGCTGCCTTCCACTGAAAGGAGGGGAGAGACACAACAAAAGAGCAGTTTAACAAGACATTTTCATAAAATCTTGGTGATGCGTCCCAGGGATAATTTTCTGTCTCAGTCAAGAGCTGATCTTTCCTATACCTATCCTGACCATAAGCTGGTCACCAAAAGCTGATTGTCAACAGAGGAAATATGGCTGCTCGTGCCCTCGGGCCTCTGTTCGAAGCACTCACGCGACAGCCACGAGCACTGTACACAGCACAGCTCAGCGACATGGGTCCATGATAGTGTTTTTGTTCTCAAACAGTCATTGGAAATACTTCCTGAATGCAAATCAGAAATTCGTGAAATTACAGGACACTTACAAATAGGGAGGCGGACTGTCCCTATACACAGGGTTCACAATCTGAACTGGCCCTATAAATCAGCAATTAGTGTTAAGAGGAACACTGTAAACAACTCAAATATGGAAACACAAAACAAAAACATAACACAATATATAAATATCCAAGGCTTTTAGGTAAGGTTTTCAGAAAACCCAGGGATAGATTTGATATCACAAAACGGTCCATATCTCCCAAAAATGTCTTTTGACTGGACAGTAAAATAGTATTTGTTGGAAACTAAAAAGTGAGATAAAGTACAGGCCATTGGGAGTGGTAAAGCTTTAATTTCTCCAACTTTCTTCCAAATCAACTTATTATTAGGGTTCTCATGGCATAAGAAGAGATGGTAGCTTTCCACGGGAGCACATTTGGGATTGATTTTGGTGATGTTCCAGGTGAGGGCAATGCCCTTGGGTCTCAGTACCCGTTTCACTTTGAGCTCAGGCTTCTGGGGTGGGAGGGTGTCTCGAATCTTGTCTACCAGTTCAGGCAGCAGTGGCGGTGGTTCCGGGAGCGGCGGGAGGTGCTCAAAGCACTCAAGATCCTAAAAACAACATTGGTAAGAGCTCAGCACGCTGGAGTAATGGATTCTGGTTATTACTCAGAGATCAGTTTCAGTTCTACCCACACATGCACTCGCACATAACACATGAACTTCCGGGGGGTGCAGTCAATGCTTACTCCTGGCTCTATGCTTAGCAATCACTCCTGGTGGGCCCAGGGGACCATATCAAGTGTCGGAGATTGAACCCGGTTTGGCCACGTGCCAAGGCCAAAGCCCTCCCAACTGTACAATTGTCCCGCCCTCTACGAAAAATCTGTCTATTCCTCCACCCATTTATCAAGACTGTAAGAATGAAAGGCTGCTCAAGGATGTATGATTTGGGACCACAGAAGGTACGCCCAGCGGTACTCGGGGCTTACTCGTGACTCAGCGACTGAGAATCACTTCCGGTGGGGCTCGGAGGCCACACGGGGTGCCAGGAACTGAACCCGGGTGGGCTGCGTGCAAGGCACGTGCTCTTCTGCCACGCTATGCTTTCTGACCCCACGCGCCCCGGTCTAAGGCAGCCCGTGTCCAGTCAAGTGGCTCCAGAGCTTCTAGGTGGAAATGGGGTCTGAATTCACCACTTTCCTGGTTCCTGTTTCCTTCCATTGCAGGAAGATGATAGACTGAAGTTGGGGCGTGGGAGTGGAGGTAGGGTTTCAGGAAGCTGCCTAGTGACCAGCCCCAAGTGGCCCCAAGGCATGAGGCCACATCCCTTTGAAAGGCAAATACCACGCTCTTTACAAGGATGAAAAAAAGCAGTACCGGTCAGACACAAAGTGCTGTGGCAGCACCCAGAGCCCCAGGTGGGGCAGTCCAGTTTTGCAGTAACATGGCTCTGTAAAGCAGGTGGGGGGCATTCTATTCTCACGCAAGGGGTCACCTACATCATCGCTTGGACATTACTGCCCTGGAGAAGCTGATGGTCTTTATGTAAAACTTTAATTTTTTCTTTTGGGGCCACACCCTCTTCTGCTCAGGGCATATTACTGGCTCGCTGGCTCTGCACTCAGGAAACCATACGGGGTGCCAGGAAACAAAACCAGGTCGGCTGCATGCAAAACGAGGGCGCCTTACTCTCTCTCCTCTCTCCTTACCCCTTGCCATTTATTTCTCTCAGTGAGATATTAAACCACGAGCCCCTCCCCCCCCCCCCCCCCCCCCCAAGCAAGGCTAGCACAAGCCTCCTTTCAGGGCTTCTATTCTACCTCCTGGGAGACAGACAAGTACAACCGCTAAAGCGCTAGTCCTGCATGCCACTGACCTGTTTGATCCCTGGCACTCCTATGGTCCCCGAAGACCTGCCAGGAGTGATCCCTGAGCAGAGCCAGGGGTAAACCCTGAGTACCGCCCAATGTGGCCCCCAAACAAACAAAGAAATCCAAACAAACCAAATATCTACAGTTTGGAATATCACTGATCTCGGACGGGTTAGGTTGCAGGCTATCTTGGGAAATACTCCATCTCCTTTCCGAACGGTTTCCAGACTCTGTGCTTGTCACATATACAGTGCTGGTGCATGAGAATACGGACAGTCCCGCCCAGCCTGGTCAAACACGGCTACTGTGCTCTAAAATAAAAAATGTGGCGCTGAAGAGACAGCACGGCAGGTCGGGCGCTTGCCCTGCACAAAGGCAACTTGGGGCTGATTCAAAACAACGCGCACAGACTCCAAGCACTGCCAGGAGAGATTCTTGCGTACAGAGCCAAGAGTCAGTCCTAAGCACTGCTGGGTGTGGTCCCCCCAAACAAAGCAGTGATAACGATAGCACTGTCCTACCCTCAGTCATTGTTCACTGATTTGCTTGGGCGGGCACCAGTAACGTCTCCATCCTCGTGAGCCATGTTGTTACTGTTTTTGGCACATCGAATACACCACGAGGAGCTTGCCAGGCTCTCCGAGAGGAACAGAGGAATCAAACCTGGGTCGGCCAGGTACAAGGCAAACGCCCTAACCGCTCCAGCAATAGCACAGCGGGTAGTGATAATGACAATAAAAAAAATTTTTTTAATTGTCCCTGGAGATGGTTTAGTCAAGTTCGCAAGTTCAAATCTGCGGTTGCCTGACCCCAAGGTTCCAATGAAACCCTGACAATCCCAATGTTGGGGATCCCCAGACGAGAAAAGAAATCATTTCCAACTTACTGAATTAAAATTTTTTTCTTGTTTCCTTGAGCTCTGGAAAATTCAATTGTTTTAATCGTGTAAATGAGAGTGAACTAAAACATTGAAGTGCTTTCTAAACTACAATGTGACCCGCACGTTTCTTAGAGAGTAAACGGGTACTTCCGCCCAGAGCGTATTTCCCTTACAGAGCATTTCAAATCAGTACCTGGGCTGTATTTCGTGCCACTGGGCTAGTGCTCTCTTTTGAACTTGAAACATCTTTTGTAAATGACTCCAGGGCCGACACTGAATTTTCTGTGAACAAACACAGGTTCGAGATATGAAATCCATCTGCAATAATGAGTATCATAAATTTTCAGTAAACTTTACATCTTAGATGTTAAGTGTCAACTAAAATGATTTTTTTAAAAAAAACTGAATATAAAGACACGCTTTTGATTAACGTTTAATAACCAAAGGCATGAGACAAATTATTTTCATGGAACAGAGACTCCCAAATTAGAGCAAATAGTTGTCACCATTCAATTAGGAACTGAATGTGATTACATATGGAAGAGAGCTATGGCAACAGTCTCGGAGAAAGATTCAGTTCTTTATGGCCAACAAAGATGAGTCGTTTCCAGTTGGGTGCGCGTATGTACAAATACTGGAAATCCTAACTGAAAAATCACTCAGATGGGTTTTAAGCACTCCTTCCAAAGTGGGCCCTACAGGCCCCTGGGGGTGCTGAAAAAATCTGGGGCTAACAGTAGCCTTGGGTGCAGATGGGGCTTGCTTTCTGTTTGCTTAAAGGTAGATTTCTTAGTGATGCAATTGACACACTTTATGAAATCTTCCCAAATAAAAAGTATTTGTATTTTTTTCTTAACAACAATAATCAAGATTCTAAGTAGTGTTTGAAGTTAATTTATTATTTACCAGTATTGGGGGGAAAAAGCCCTTTGTAGAGGAGATAATGACAACAGTTTCAATGATAAGAGTCTGGGTAGCCTTTTCATACTGGTATAGTTACTTAGAACTAGACTGGTAAAATCGTTCAATAGATTAATCACCATACAAGAACAGATTCAAATAAGACCACCTTCAAATTTTTGAGTGAACAGCTTAATACAAAAAAAAAACCCAAACAAACTCTTTTCACGATTTTCTGTAACATTCCTTCTTTCAAGTTACTAGAAGGGCCTTAGTAAACACTTCTCAGATTTTCCCTGATCTACATAAAAAGGACTGAAGGGTTACCTCACTCTTTTGTATTCTCCAAGCAACAGAAATCAATAGCTTATTACTTTATCTTTAAACTCTAGGTAAAAAATGTCGTCTCTGCTTTCAACTTAACCCTTTGTTTTCCCTCCAGAGCTCTTTTTCTCTGTGCGTATAATGTATATGTGTACACATGTTCATTCTTGAAGTGTATTATAAAGACTGGTGGATGGAGAGACGTTCCAGGAGTTAAGGCATTTGCTTTGTATCTCACTGACCCTGGTTCAAGTCCCTGGCACCACACACCGTCCCCCGAGCACTTCCAGGAGATGTTTCTGAGCATTACTTGGTGTGGCTTCGGTGTGGCCCAAAAACCAAAAGAGAAAAAAATTTTTTTTTTAGAGGAATGGGGAGATAATGCAGGTGTGAATGCATGCCTGGCATGTGTGAGGCCCCAGTTCAACCCTGACACATGCTTCTCCTTTCTGCCAGTACTGCTGGGTCAAGCAGTCTTGCAACACCAGGCTTGCCATGCCGAGTCTTCGGCTTGGCCTGGGCCCCCATTGCTTCAGAGGAACCCCTAAATTATTTGTGAAGTTTGCTATGATTTTTTTGGGGGGGGTCATACCCAGTGATGCACAGGGGTTACTCCAGGTCCGCATTCAGGAATTACTTCTGGTGGTGCTTGGGGGGCCATATGGGATGCTGGGAATTGAACCCAGGTCGGCCACGTGCAAGGCAAACACTCTAAGCCACGCGACCGACCCAGGTTTGATCCCCAGCATCCCATATGGTCCCCAGTACCGCCAGAAGCAAGCCCTGAGCATCGTTTGGTGTGACCCCCAAAAAAAATGCTGTTCATGATTGGATTTCAGTCATACAGTGTTCCAACACCCACCCCCTCCACCAGTGTACATTTCCCAGCATCAGTGTCCCCAGGTTCCCTCCTATCACACCCACCCCCCACCTGCCTTGGGGGGGTCACACCCGGCAGTGCTCAGGACCTACACCCGGCTCTGCACTCAGGAATCACATTTGGTGGTGCTTGGGTGACCATATGAGATGCCAGGAATTGACCATATGAGATGCCAGGAATTGATGCCAGGAATTGAGATGCCAGCTGTGTGTGAGGCAAGCGCTCTCCATGATGTACTATATTGTTCTGACCCTGTGAAATTCATTTTCCCTTTGATGAAGATACACCTAAGAAAAACCATTGTCAAAATCAAGACACAGAAGATTTTCACTCTACCCCAAACTTCTACTATCCCTCTCTCACCTCTGGCCCATGAAAACACTGTCTGCTGACACTAAGGTCGGACTTGCCTTTTCTAGATTTTTACATAAACCAGATTACACTGGACATAGGACCTTTTGCCTAGCATGTTTCTAGATTCATCCATCTTGCTGCCTAGAACAATGCTGCTGGTTTTCACTGCTGAGCAGTGGTCAGCCTTCTTTCTCCCGAGGCAGCTCCCTGGGCAGGGTGGGGTTTATAGCTATGCCATCACTGGCTAATCAATTTCTCTGACAACAAACATTAGTGTGGGACTACAGTGAACAATGTGACTCGATCAACACTGATGTTGGTAAGTCTTCATTTCTCTTGAATATCTGAAAATGGAGTAATTGTGTCATGACTATATCCTTCCTTCAGGAAGCTGCAAGCCCTTTCTAAAGTATATTTGCCATTTTACATTCCTTCCTGCAAACCATCAGGATTCCAGTTTCCGCCACATGTCTGCACTACGGCGGGTGTGCTGTGGTGCCGTCAGTCCGCCTCTCCCGAGGACCTCTTCCAGCACTGATTTGCTACCTGCCCATCTTCTCGAGTGACGCGTCATACCGACACACCTACACATTCACCTACGTACTTACAGTTTCATCCGTTTGTTACTTACGTAGAAGATTCTAGCATACATTTCAGACCTTCCATTTTTTTTCTAACGTTCAATGCTAGTCACTTCCATCTAAGCATTGCCTCAGTTGAATCCCCTGCTTTGTGGGGGGGGCTGAGGGCATGTGGCGGTAGGTTTGGGCCCCAGCTGGCCGTGCTCAGGCTTAGTCCTAACTCTACGCAGGAGTCATTCCTGGTGGCGTTTGGGGAACCACGGGCTATGCTAGACTTGAAAACCTGGTCGGACGCATCTAAGACGAACGACTTAACGCTCTGTCCTATCTTCTCCTGCCCACGTCGCTCAAGTGTTGATATGCCGTTTTCATTTTTATTTAGTTTAGAATATTTTTGAATTTCCCTTTCTGATTTCTTTGACTCACCAGTTATCCAGAAATGTGTTCGGTTACCAACTGTCTTGAAGTTGTTCATTCATCTTTCTGATTACCGTCCCTGCATATCACAAGAATTCTAAAGACACTGAGAATAATTCTGTTGTTTGGTTTGGGGGCAACAACTGGGCGTGCTCAGGGCTTACTTCTGGCTCCGTACTCAGAAATTACTCCCGGCGGTACTCAGGGGACCTTACGGAATGCCAGGGATCAAGCCAGAGTTGGCTGCATGCTCCAGCCCCTCTACTGAGAACAGTTTCTATTTTAAAATATTGGGGCCACATCAGTCTGTGCTTAGGGCTTGGCCCCAGTTAGGCTCTCAGGGATCACTTCGAATACTTGGGGGACCATATTCTAGGGACGTGTGCAAGGCAAGAGCCCTACCTGCCTTACTATCTCACTGGCCCGAGTAGTTTTTATGGCCTAGAAACCAGCCCCAGCAGCTGAAAACCTCCAGAACTCAACCACCACCCGTCTCACTGCCGCAAATGTGACACTTCATGCCGCACACCCTACCCAGACTCCAAGAGTACCACACCACATTGGATGGGGTTCAAAGCTGGAGGCAACCAATCTTTGAGGGAAGCTTTTTTCACATATATATTATAAGCACACAAGGTTCAACCTTTCACAACATGCTAGTGATCTCTTAAAGAAGAAGGGTTTAATGGCCTCTCGGTGAAATACAACAACCTTCACACTCTTTCCTCTAAGAAAACTTTTTTGTGGCGTTTTCTGCTGCTTTCCATAACAGCACTGTAGCAATGTCCGTTGTTCATTGATTTGCTCCAGCAGGCACCAGTAACATCTCCATTGTGAGACGTTGTTGTTACTGTTTTTGGCATACTGAGTACAAGGGTAGCTTGCCAGGCTTTGCCGTGTGGGCGGGATACTCTCGGCAGCTTGCCTGGCTCTCTGAGGGACGGAGGAATCGAACCCGGGTCGGCTGTGTGCAAGGCAAAAACCCTACCCGCTATGCTATTGCTCTAGCCCTTTTTACAGTAATGCAAAATACATTATTTCAGTTTTGCTTTGGGGCAGGGGCTGTGGTTCGGGAAGAAAATATCCGAAATATGGCGGTGGGAAGGTGTAAAGGTGGTGGGATTGGTGACTGAATATTAAATGTAATCAAATATTGTGAACTACTTTATAAAATAAAAAAATTAAAAAAAAGAACCCGATCTCATATTGCCAAGTTTAATAGGAACGCAAATTCTACTGTGCTATATTTCATAATTTTTTAAAATTGAGTCCAATACAGTGTCTGCCTCCAAATTTACACCACTTAAACTCAGTTTCTACTTACCAACATGGCCAAGTTTTTTTTTTTTTTTAATTATAGGCTGACACACATATATCATGAATTTATCATTATTAGTTTACAGCACTAGACAATCTCAGTGGTATAGCTTAACCCCTCTATAGGTGTATACAATTTTTTTTAACCTGGTAATTCTCAGGGGTTAGTTCAGGCTCTGTACTCAGAAATCACTTCTGAAGTGCTTGGGGGACCATATGGGTTGCCAGTGATGGAACTTGGGTTAGGCACGTGCAAAGTAAACTCCCTCCCTGCTGTCTTACCGCTCGGCCCTGTGAGGCATGTAAAATTCTTTGCAGGCACCACTGGAGTCCCAGTGGCATCCCACTGGAGATTCTTCTCTCTCCGTTCACCCACCCCCAGCCGTGCTCAGCACCATACCCACTGTCCCTCCAGCTTCATCAGTCTCCTTTCCTTTCCTCAACTAACCAACAGTGTTTTGACTGATACTTAGAGCTTTGATTTTAGTGGAGCACAGCATTCCATCTGGTGCAAAGACCTCACCTTCTGATCTAGCTGTTTGCTGGTGGGCATTTAAGGTTGACTCCGTGTTTTGGCCATAAGAAATACAGTGCTAGGAACGTGAGGGTGCAAGTATCTTTTCAAGTTAGTATTTTCATATTCTTATTTAAGTCTAGAAATGCCTGGGAATGATATTGTTGGGCAACGCGGTCTTTTCAAATTTTATTTTTGGACCTCACACCCCCCCCCAAAAAAAAAACCCCAGCAATGCTCAGGGCTTTTTCGTGGTTCTGTGCTTGGGAATTCCTACTGGGAACGCTCAGGGGACCATAGCTGCTGCCAGGGATCCAAACACCTGAACCCCAGAACTATCTCTTGATCCCTTAATTGGGGGGCAGGGTGGTGGTGGCGGCAGGATCTTCCAAGCAGTGTTCAGGAGGCCTGGGGTCCCTCCTAGGGGTTCTTGGCCAACCAAGCAGCACTTCCATGCAGGGGCGCAGCTCGCCAAGCTACCAGGGCAGTTTGGGGATTTCGTGGGCTATCTAAGGTGCTCCTGGGCGTTCAGAGACACACATGGCTGTGCTGGACCCCTCCAGGACTGCCCCCTATGTTGGAGACTATGCGGTGACAGAAGATTGGCTTGGGATTGGCTGCAAGTAAGTCAAGTATGCTGCCCTGGGACTGTCTCTCCAGCTGCTGTATTTTAATTTGTTTAAAGCAATATTAGTAAAGGCCCTCCCGTTGATCGTCGATTTGCTCGAGCAGGCCCAGTAACGTCTCCATTGGAGACTTTGTTGTTACTGTGTCTGACATCTCGAATACTCTCGGTAGTTTGCCGGGCTCTCCGAGAGGGGCGGAGGAATCGAACTCGGGTCGGCCATGTTGGCTGCTTGTAAGGCGAACGCCCTACCCCTGTGCTATCACTCCAGCCCAGCGTTCAGAGACACACATGGCTGTGCTGGACCCCTCCAGGACTGCCCCCTATGTCGGGGACTATGCGGTGACAGAAGATTGGCTTGGGATTGGCTGCAAGTAAGGCAAGTATGCTGCCCTGGGACTGTCTCTCCAGCTGCTGTATTTTAATTTGTTTAAAGCAATATTGGTCATGTTAAAACCAATCACCTAAACTTTTGTTCTCTGTTAATCTTGTTTTTTATGCCTCGTGTATGCTGTATATATGTATACGTATGTTTTCTCTTTTATGTATTTTTTTCTGATTTTTATACATTTTATTTTCATAAAGTAGTTTACATTAGTTCATTACAGGTAACATTCAAGCACCCATCCAACCAGCGAGCATCTTCCCACCACAGTAAGAGGGAAGTGTGTAAAGGTCGTTGTATTTCATTCTGGGGCCATTTAAACCCGTGTCTACAAGAATACAAGCAAGTACGTTAAAACCAAACACACGTATGCTACTTCAGTACATCCGGGGGCCAGAGTGTAAGAGGTCCAGGAAACACGGCATTGCTCTCTTCCGGAGCTTTATTTTAGAGTCTCTGGATCTTGGTAGTTGATGAGATTACATGGCAGCCGCGGTGGGGAGGGGGGTGCGGCAGGGGCAGGGCAGTTTATGAGTGTGACTGCCAAGTCACTGGAAAGCTGGGGATCTGGGTGGAAGTGGCCCAGTCCCAATCTCTTGGATAATTTCTAAGATTCCATTTTGTCTCCAACACTATTGTATTAGCAAGCCTTCGATTCCTAAAAAAAAAATAATGATAATGATAATAATGGGGCTGGAGTGATAGCACAGCGGGTAGGGCATTTGCCTTGCACGCCTCTGACCTGGGTTCAATTCCCAGCATCCGGCATGGTCCCCCGAGCACTACCAGGAGTAATTCCTGAGTGCATGAGCCAGGAGTAACCCCTGAGCATTGCTGGGTATGACCCAAAAAGCAAGAAAGAAAAAAAAGATCATGCTTAGACAAAAAGAAAAAAGCCAAAAAAATCATGTTCCAGGTATTAGCATATGCATCATGAATAACGTTACATAATGTCTATCTTCAAATAAAAAAAACCACTTCTCGTATAAGTCCCTCATAATATACTTTTGGTCCTTCAACCATCTCCTGCATTACTGTTGTTGCACTAACTCCTACAGAGATTCTTTCCTTCTGGTTTGGGTGCCAGACCCAGCAGTGTCTGGGGGTCACTCCTAATGCTGTGCTCAGAAATTACTTCTGGTGGTACTCAACGGAGGATGCTGAGGATCAAACCTGGACTGGCTGCTTACAAGGCAGATGCTCTACCTGCCGTTCTATCCGTCTGGCCCCTCTACAGAGAAGCTAAAGTCCACAATACGGTGTCCCACTCCACAGGACAGATCCACGTTCCATCAAGGACCATTTTCACTTTTGTGAGAAATGTTCCCCCAATATCTGGGCTGTGTTTTGGGTAAAACAAGTTTAGACCTGTTTAGACGAAGGAGGCTGTAAATAAGCAGTGAGGCAGGAAACGTCCTGCTTGGGCATAACCATAACGGAATGCTTCCGGACCTCCAGAACTAGCCATTAAAAAGCCTTAACCATATGGCCCCGCTGTGGCAACACGGACCTCCGTTCTCCTCCTGACTACTCAGAAAGCAAGCCCACCTGAAGCAAATGCTGGATTAAATAAAGAGCCAGGCAGCCCCTTGCCTGGGCTGTCAGAACAACCCTGCTGCCTGAACAGTCTCTGCAATCAACCCTGCCCGAAGGAGCTGAAGAAACTGGCCTGGTTCCTGCTGGCCGTCACACCTTTCTTCTCTTTATATCAGAGAGAGAAGTTTTGTCACATTATGGTGACGAATAGCATCTGTGGTGATAGTTTCCACAATCTACAACTGCTACAATGGCACAAAGCTACTAAACACACACAAACACACCGATACAAGCTCCACGAACAGGCTCAATAGACACCGAGTTCCTTTTTTATTTTTCCCTCTCTCTTAGAAAAGACAAATCCCTTACCTGTTGATAGGGTATCTTCTGTCAGATCAATCACAGAATCATCCTTTTCCTTTACAGGCTGAGTTGTTAAAAAAAAAAGATTTGCCTTAATAGTGCAAAACATTTTTAAAAAATAGAACACATTATTTTAAATTATCATTTAGAAGCTAGAGACAGAACAGTAAGAGAAACGATTATGAAATACCATATGGTTTCCAAGAATGACTCCAGCAGTCTAAATGAGTTCATTTAAAAACTAAGTATGGTTGGGAATATGTTTAACATTAACTGTTTGCTGTGAAATGTTTAAGTTGGACCGGAATCTAGTTTTGCTAAGTAGTCAGGCATTAATTTCTCATAGAATGAATCTTCCAAACAATGAATGAAAAAACTAACACCAACATACATAAACATCAAGTTTCCTAGACTCCTCTACTCACATAAACAAGAATAAAAAATACTGTATTTTTGACCTACCACATCAATTTCGGCAAAAGGCAAATGGTTAGAAACACTGGAATTTTTTTCACATCCTGAAAGAAAATGATTTACAAAATAAGCTTTTGACAAGTCTACTAAACTGTTAAATGAAATTTAAGACATATGAAAGATATATAAGATATATATAAGCTGAAACACAATTTGGGAATACCAATTAACTATTATTTTATAGTAACTGAAAAGTAACTCAGCTGATATAACCAGACTGATAAAGCCAGTTCAAAAAAATAATTCTACTTTGATAGCGGTCAATGTGCTGTATACTTTGTACCTTAAAACCATGTTAGCACGATTATATCTAAAACAAAACCCACCCCTCAAACCAGAATCTGGGTCCAGGGAGGAAGCTCAAAACTGCAGAACACAGATCTTGCATGACTGAGGCCAGTACTAGCTTGCCCCCCATTCTTCCTGTCCCCAAGTGCAGGGATGAGCACTAAACCTTGGAGCCTACACAGCCAGGAAAGTAGTCCTGGGAGTGACGTCCAGAATCCCCAAGCATCACTGGGGAAGCTCCCTCCCTCTGTAAAAATTGCTCAGAGTCAAATTTTGTTTCGAAAGACTTTGTCCTTCTGGTACAACTCTAATAGTAACATATGAAAGGTAATCTACAGAGTTTTGAGAAAATCAAATGTATATATCTATTTTTTGGGGGGGGGGAGTACAACCAATGGGGCTCAGGGATTATTCCTGGTTCTGTGCTCAGCAGAGTATCTCCTGACAGAGCTCGGAGAACTACATGGTGCCAGGGATTTGAATTTGAGTTCTGACTGGTGGCCACATACAATGCTAGTCCCTTAACCCCTCTTCTCTCTCTCCAGCCCTCTCCACACTTTTCATTCACTGTATCTTTAAGCTAGGGGGCCTCAGATGGCTGAGAACAGCCTTTCCAGAAGCAGTGTAAACCTGAGACACTTAATAACCTTAGATAATTGGAACCATCAAAATGGTGGGGACAAATAAGTAGTTATATAAGTGAAGGCAATCTTTTTCTGAAAGTAACATGTAAATACGCAGTTATAGTAAAAAAAAAAAAAAGGAAATAGGAATTTTGAAAGAGAAATTATGGTTCAACAAGGAAGCTATTCTGAGAAAATTTATGGGAAATCTAAATTTTTATGTAAGACTTTTATGTAAGTGCAATATGACAGAAACTCTAAAACAAATGAGTGTATAAGAAAAATACACCAAAAATATTTTTTAAAGGTTTCTAAAAATAGCCAAACTTTAAATTTTAAGAAGACTACAGATAATTTAATAAACACCAAATCACTTTTACTATCAAAAAGTGGCCAGGAAAAACTTGTAAAAAGTAATTTTTATAAAAGGTAAGTTGTTTGAAAACTTTCAAATATCAAAGAAATAAAAAAATCACAAAGTGATGAGCATGACCTAGAGCGATAAAACAGCAGGTAGGGCGTTTGCCTTGCACATGGCCAACCCAGGTTCAGTCCCTGGCATCCCATATGGAGCCCTCAGCACTGCCAAGAATTAATTCCTGAGTGCGGAACCAGGAGTAACTCCTGTGCATTGCCAGATGTGACCCCCAAGGCCCCAGGCAAACAAAGTTAAAAAAAAAATCCTTATTTATTAAGGAAACAATATTTTTAATGCAGTGAACTTTAGGAAATGCATTATTATGTTTAAAAGATTATTCAATTTTCTAAGTAGATATTGACTCTTCTTTTACAGATCCTATTTTAATCAACTTAAGATACCTGTTGTATTTGATGTAAGTGGAGATGTCAAATTAGGAATTTCCACAGAAATCAACAAAACATCATCATTACTAAAATGATAAAAAAATACATTAGATAAACATGCAGTAAATAGCAGTTAAATTATTAAAATATTTCATAACCAACTGGTTTTAATCTGACAATGTGAAAAAAATATCTCTCCCATGCATTACTAATTAATGACACAACCAAAAGTTTGTGGATAAGCACTCATAACAAACTCAATCTTAGTAGGGATCCAGTCACAATGAATCCATATAGAATACAAATATATGTGTACAAAACATACAAATATTCATATACTTGCTCTCATGACACCAGAAGAAATCCATTAAGATACTTTGACTCCTGGGCCAGCACAACATTAGTGGACCATGTAGGGAATTTACCTTTCATGAAAGCAGTTCGAAACCTGAGTTCAAAACCTGGCACTACATGTGGTCCCCACAAGCTCCACGGGAGTGATCCCTGAACGGGGAGCCAGGAATCAGCCCTGAGCACTGTCAGGAGTGGCCCAAAAACCAAAGTTAAGAAGAAAAAATAAAAGAGATACTTTTGAGTCCTACAGATATAGTATTTAACAAATCAAGCTAATTCTAACACTGGTCCTGTGGAAATCACTTTCACAGCAAGAATGACCACACGTTAGTAAACCGAGGCGATGATGGTTAAGAGATGATGATGGTTCTAACGTGCCCTGAGCAGGCAGACTGTCTACAGCTCCTTTTCCACCCTGATTCTACTTTTGTGAATCTGACTTTTGAATCAGAATTTTAAAGAAAGCTAGACACAAATTTGACTAAGTCCATAGAATTCTATAAACAGGGTTATACTAGTTCCTTTTTAATGTATCACCCTTTAAACTTTTGTATTTAGGTTTATGATCCAATTTCAAATTATTTTTTCAAGTTATTTTTGTCTATGAGTTGAGGTTCACTTTTCCTATCAAATTCAGCAATTTCTGATATAAAGACTATTTCCCAACAATCACCTTTACTGAAAAACATGGACTAAAAGATTTCCCAATTCACTATAATTTGTCCATTAATTTATCTTTGTACTGTTTAAATTACTACAACTCTCCAGTATTTAACTCAAGTGGCATATATCTTTTAACTTTCCACCGTCCACTGTCCTCCAGTTGTTCATCAATTTGCTTGAGCGGGCCCAGTAATGTTTCCATTCTGAGACTTCTTGTTACTGTGTTTGGCATATTGAGTATGTTACGGGTAGCTTGCCAGGCTTTGCCGTGCAGGCGAGATACTCTCAGTAGCTTGCCAGGCTCTCCAAGGGGGCGGAGGAATCGAACCTGTCGGGTTCGCCGCGTGCAAGGCAAACGCCCTACCGCTGTGCTTCTAGATTTTTCATTTTATGAAAGTTTTCGATCAGCTTATTTTTCTACAGATTATTTGGTAAGTATTAAATTTCAATTGAGATTGCACTGAATGTATTATATACAACCTTTGAGTGACGTGACATCTCCATTAATGAGCTTTTTATTTTTGAGGCAGTTTTTGGATTTATGGCAAAAATGAGTGTCTTGAAAGAAATTCCCATACATCCTGTCTCCACACATACAGAACCCCCTATTATTTATTATTCTGTGCGACAGATGTGTATTTGTCATACCTGATGCACCCTACCCCTCAACAGGGCTCACTTAATGTCGTACATGCATACATGGGCTTGACAAATGTATAATAATTTGCATTTGCCACTAATAGCTGCCGTGAAGAGTTTTACTATCCTAAAAAATACCCTGGTGCTTCGAATTTGTTCCTTCCCCCTGGAAACACCTGCTCCCCTGCCTTTCCCAGGGTGTCCGCTGGTCTGCCTGCTACTGTAGCACTGTCCTCTCTGATCTGCCTTTTCCCACTAACTACATAGGCATTTGAGTTTCCTCCACAGCTTTTCTTAGTTAGATAAAGCTCATGTCATTTTTAGCACTGGACGATAGATATGCCAGTTTATTAGTACATCGAGCGATAGCACAGCGGGTAGGGCGTTCGCCTTACAAGCGGCCAACATGGCCGACCCGAGTTCGATTCCTCCGCCCCTCTCGGAGAGCCCGGCAAGCTACCGAGAGTATTCGATATGCCAGACACAGTAACAACAAAGTCTCCAATGGAGACGTTACTGGGCCCGCTCGAGCAAATCGACGATCAACGGGAGGGCCTTTACCTTTACCTCCGAAGGTTAACTTCCTCCCAAGTTTTAGAATTAAAAATAAAACCCTTATGTTTTTTTTTTTTGTTGTTTTTGGGTCACACTGGTGATGCTCAGGGGTTATTCCTGGCTCTGCACTCAGGAATTACTCCTGGCGGTGCTCAGGGGACTATATGGGATGCTGGGAGTCAAACCCAGGTTGGCCGCGTGCAAGGCAAACGTCCTACCCGCTGTGCTATTGCTCCAGCCCCAAACCTTTATGATTTTATTTTTGCTTCTTTGAGTAAACAATCATACTTTTTCTTAGTGGCTGTGCTGGTGCTGGCAATATCCATTTAAAATTAACCAAAGTCTTCTTGAGTTTTAAATTGGGGCCTCAGAGGCTCGGGGTTACTCCCCTGATGCTCAGCCTGGCAGTGCTCCGGGACCAGCATGGCACCATGGCTGTGTTTAGGAGCCACCAAGGACAACTCAATGGTGCTAAGGGGTCCACGTGGTACAGGGACTCAAACCAGAGCCTTACGTATATTAGCCAGGCGCTCTATCACTTGTTCACTTTCAAACAACACTCAAGGGGCTGCAGTTATAGCACAGTGGTTAGGGCGTTTGCCCTGCATGTGGTCAACCCAGGTTCGATTCCCAGCATCCCATATGGTTCCCTGAGCACCGCCAGGAGTAATTCCTGAGTGCAGAGCCAGGTGTGTGTAACCCTGTGTACCACCAGGTGTGACCCAAAAAGGGGAAAGAAAACCCAACAACACTCAATTGCTTCACAGACAGTGCTAGTAGCTATTATTACAAAATATTCCTAATTTTGCCTCTGGTTCCCTTTGCACTAATTTATATGTATTAGGAAGTATAGAATGCTATTTTGAGGGCTGGAGTGAGAGCACAGTGGGTAGGACACTTGTCTTGCATGCAGTTGACCTGGGTTCAATCCCTAGTACCCCATATAGTTCCCCCCCAAGCCCCACCAGGAGTGATCTCCTGAGCACAGCTGGAAGTGATCCCAAAAACACTTTTTTTGTTGTTGTTAAATCAACCCTGCAGCATTCCTCAGACAAATGTAACTTTTACAGAATACTGAACTGAATTTACTAGTATCTTGTTTAGAATATTTGTGTCAAATTTGTGAAAGCACAATACAATTTTCCGTTCCTATAAAATCTTAAAATTGATTTTACTATCTCTGGCAAGAGAGTCTGATCAACTGAATGGAATACTCCCTCTTTTACTATTCTTTAGGAGAGAATGAAAGTGATGCTGTTTTTTTCCTTAATTTTTTTTTGGTGAGGGGGATGGAACCCAGGGTCCACATGAAAAGTGTGCACTCTTACCCCTGAACCACACCTCGAAGACAAAACCAGGGTAGGCCACATGCAAAGCAAGTATCTGACCCCCTGTGCTATCTCCCCAGCCCCAGATCCTTTTACTTTTTAATCACTTAACATTTCAGCACATAACAACAACAGAGATTTACTGACATGTAATTCTTGCTAAATAGCACAGCGGGTAGGGCATCTGCCTTGCACGCAGCCAACATGGCCAACCCGAGTTCGATTCCTCCGCCCCTCTCGGAGAGCCCGACAAGCTACCGAGAGTATTCGAGATGCCAGACACAGTAACAACAAAGTCTCCAATGGAGACGTTACTGGGCCCGCTCGAGCAAATCGACGATCAACGGGAGGGCCTTTACTTTTACTTTACTAATTCTTGCTATCACCATTAAAATACATTCTCTGTAGTATCTTCCTGGTTCAAACTAAACTGTTCCCCCCATCTCCAACCCTAAAATATCCATCCAGGTTAGGATCATCAATAGTATTTTTTTGTTAAAAAAAACTACATCTTCCCTAGAAGCCCCGAGTCCTATTACACGATTCCATGTCTCAACATGACAAATTAACCTGTTCATTCTAATCTGAAGCTATCATAGCTTAAATATTTGGAAAACTGAACTTAAGACACTTTTGAAGCTTCCTTACTCTTTTGCGTATGAGTTTTAACCAGTATTTTATAAAATACAGACATTTCCATATGTAGAATTGTAAAGTAGAAGAATGGCTCAACCGTTCACTCATCTACTAAAGATGGAAGGCTTCGCAATGAGATACTGATTACACCTCATCAAGTTCAACATTTTATTACTGTAAAAAAGCAATGACGAAAAGCTTTGGAGAACCAATTCCATTCCTCCTAAGGGACAAAAAATAGGGTTCATCTGAATATAAAGCTTTAAAGCTATTCTTATGCCTAAGGTAAGAAAAGGGTATGTATTTATGAGCACAATTTTAGGTAAGTTCAGTGAATTTTGTAGAAGTCGTTTACCTTTCAGAAACAGCATTATCATGATCTTGTGACAAATCAACCTTTTCACTTGCTCTGATAGAAGAATTAAAAGATTTGTTGTTTACAGAAGTCTTTCTTTCACCTCGACTATTAACTGATTCCTGATTTCTATCCAAATCCATAGTCTCTGAACTTGTAACCTGTTAAGTGAGTAAGGACAAAACAGTTGAGGGAAGGATTACCAATTATGTTCTTAAAAAAAATAGGTAAACTTAACTTCAAAACCTGCTCCCAAAATATTCTTTATGTCACTGTCAAGTTAATCGATTTGCTCCGGTGAGTCCAGTAACGTTGTGAGACTTGTTACTGTGTTTGGCGTATCAAATATGTCACGGGGAGCTTGCCAGGCTCTGCCGTGCGGGCGAGATACTCTCAGTAGCTTGCCCTGCTCCCCGAGAAGGGCAGAGGATATGGCAAACCATTATTGTGTGTTTCGACTGCAAATGGACATGACTATGGTTGTTTTGCCAAAATAAATGCTTAAGAATGCTTTAAAAAATAAAATGGGGGCTGGAGCAATAGCACAGCATTTGCTTTGCATGTGGTCAACCTGGGTTGACCAGCAACCCATAAGGTTCCCTGAGCAACGCCAGGCGTAATTCCTGAGAGTAGAGTCAGGAGTAACCCCTGTGCATCACCGGGTGTGACCCAAAAAGAAAAAAAAAAAAGATAGCATAAGCAAATTTCCAAGCTTTAGTAGAAAGAAGGTAAATCAATTATCTAAGCAATCTGACATTATTATTCCAAGATGAAGTTTCAGGAATAAACAGACAGACATTTCTAATATTCATTACCTATTTCAAGAATTCTTTAACTTATTCTTTCAGTTACGTTTTAGAACTTGGAATTGAGGAGTGTGGGTGAGAGCACAGCGGGTAGAGTGTTTGCCTTGCACATGGCCAACCTGGGTGCAATCCCTGGCACCCCATATGGTCCTCAGAGTCTGCCACGAGGGATTCCTGAAACACAGCTAGGAGCAAGCCCTGAGATCTGCCAGGTGTGGCCCAAAAACCAAACAATAAAGAAAAAAAATTGGAGTAGGAACATTTCTTCTATGCTTTGGCTGAAAATTCACAATACTCAAAACAGTTAATCTATACGAAAGGACTGATTACTCAACTCATTAACATAATTTACTTATGGACAGCAAAAATGCAGGTATACAAAAGCATGATTCTGAGATATATTAAGTGTACAATTGTTACTTATGTACAAAGGTTCACATGGTATTGGAAATATTGATTTCTAGTATTTGCAACATTTGCTGAGAAATACTTGGTATCTATCCTTTCATTCCAGAACAAGATGGTACAGTCCTTTTTCTTCTGTTCTTCCACTTTGAATACAACTTAATCTTGAAAATAATTCAAGACAAAAATGATAGTAATTCATTTAAATTCACACAGTAGCTCTGAAAAGCAGCGGGTGGATTGGGGGTGGGGGGAATGACATACAGATTGACTCGGGCCCTCAAGACTGAGAAGTGACAACACAGGAAGTGCCCTGAATTTTCTTCTTATACAACATACGCTGGGTGCGAGAAAGACCAGGAGCTTGTCCACTCCCCAAATCTAGGGCAGGGGTGGCTCATCCCCTACTCCACGTGGGCAGAATCCAGAAGCACAATTCGTTGCAGCCCTCACGTCACCTGGGTCCCAATTTGGTCTGAATCAGACGCAGCGTTCAGCTAGAGACAACACCCAGGATGCCACACCTGGATCAGGAGGAGCAAGGCAAATCCAAGGCGGTTGGACCACGCGGTGACACTATACTTGGGAGAGCAATGGACTGGACCATGAATGCAACAGCTGTGTCCCTGCTCCATACCTGGGCAGCAGTGGGCCCAATCCACTGCAGTGGCAGTGACCAGGCCAACATTTTCTGAACTTCCCATCCAACAAAGCTGGGGAACCATGCGGCACCTGCAAGGATTGAATGGGAGACCCAGTGGAGGCGGAAGAAAGATGCCAACCAGACTTAGAGGACTCTGAAAATTAAAATGTCATTGAAACTGTAGCTCAAAAAAGGAGACCAGGACCCATGTACTCCCCCTCAACCAGGCAACCACTGCTGGAGACTCTCCAGAGAATGCTCTCTGATGCCACACTTGGACTTTCTGGACTTCCAAGGCAGCAGCAAAAGTCTTCTCTCCGTTGCGTGCTTTTCTAGAATCTCCCGAATCAACTACTCAATCTCCTTCTTGCTGAAGAACCCTCTCCAACTTACTTTTTCCTTCACACACTCCACTGAGAAGTAAAAAATAAAGGGCCCCTAGTAAAACTGAAAAAAGACCACCGAAGAACTTGGGGCTGGAGGGATAATACAGCAGGCAGGGCGCCTGCCTTGCACATGGTCGACTCAGGTTCCAACTCTGGAACCCCGAACGGCTTTTGAGCTGGTCAGAAATGATCCCGGAGCGCTGAGCTAAGCCCTGAGCATCACTGGGTGTGGCCCAAAAACCAGACACAAACAACACACACACACACACACACACACACACACACTACCCCAGATTATTTATATCGATTAAAATGAGAGCTACAGATCTACAAATAAGGGACTCCCTTTTCTTAATTTTTGGGTCATACCCAGTGTGTTTAGGACTTACTCCCGGTTCAGTATGAAGGGATGACTTCCAGAGGATGTATGTAGTAGGGAAGTTTGGATCTGCCTCAGCCTCGTGCAAAGCAAGCTCCCTGCCCCCCTGTGCTAACTAACTCTCCAGCTCCCAAGAGAAAAAACTTAACAACTTTATTCCAACAGATTCAACAACTTACACAAATTCCCTTGCAAAGACTGACTTATAAAACCAATATAAGATGAAGCAGAAAATCCTGACTTACCCTAAAATCTATTAATTGCCTTTTTAAGAAATAAATCTTTCTACAGAAGAAAGCTCCTTCTGTAAGGAGGAATGGTTTTCATGTGGTTTTCTATATGACAGACTTAAAAAACATTTGGTTCAGGGGCTGAAGCCATAGCACAGTGTAGGGCATTTGTCTCACAAACCACTGATCTGGGTTCGATCCCCTGCACCTCATATAGTGAGTGAAGTCCAAACACAAACAAAGTCAGGTCATAGGGTGCTTCCCTTGCAAGTGGAGTTAGACCCGCCAGCACCCCGTATGGTTCCTGGATCCCTGCCACGAGTGATCCCTGAGCACAAGTGGGTAAAAATAATAAAACAAACGAGAAAATTTATGAAAAACACACAAAAACACATTTGATTCAGGGATGTAGCTCAGTGCTAGAGCACATGGCTTTGCCTGTGAGAGGACTTGAGTTTGATCCCCGGTATAACAACAACAAAATGCTTGGGGCTGGAGAGATAGTACAGTGGAGTGGACAGTACAGAGGGCAGAGTAAGGCGTCTGCCTTGCATGCACCCAACCTAGGTTCAATACCAGCAACCCAAATAGTCCCTTGGGTATTGCCCAGAGTACTTCCTGAGTGCAGAGCCAGGCGAAATCCCTCAGCATCACCCTGTGACCCAAAAACTAAAACAAAAAAGCAAACTCACAAAGGTTTTAGGTATTATTAAAAATCTTACACAGATTTGTAAAAAAGTAGGGAAAGAATACTTCCCAATTCATTTACTGATCTAGCAAAAAGACAACAAAGCACAAATGAATAAAGAACATTTCTGTGGTTAGGGAAATAGGTCAAAAGGGCTGCAGAGCACATCTTTGCAAGTGGGAGGCTCTTTTGCTCCCTGACACTGCACGGTACCTCAAGGATCACCAGAAGTAATCTCTTCGCAAAGAGAAAGGAGGAGCCCTTCAGCATGAGCAGGTGTACCCCAAACAAAACACAGTGGGCTAGGAGAAAGTCCAGTGTGTTAGGAGCTCTCCTGGCATGAGCACCATCTGGATTCAATGTCTGACACCACATTTAGTTCCCAGAGCTACACCAGGAATGAACCCTGCGCACTGCCGAGTGTAGACCCCTAAAAACAACAACAAAACACAACCAGAAAAACAAAACAAAAATGTTGAAAGCAAAACAAAGTATTTTTGTGACTAAAAAGAAAAAATTCAGTTAATAGGGCTGGAGCGATTGTACAGTGGTAAGGGCGTTTGCCTGCAGGTGGCCAACCCAGGTTCGATCCCCAGCATCCTACAGGGTCCCCTGGGCACCGCCGGGTGTGACCCAAAAAGCCAAAAAACAAAAAATTTTTTTCCAGTAAATATATACTCAAGATTATTATGTTTAAAGTGTGAAACGATGCTCATACTGACATATGAAATGTACACCAAAAAAAGTGTATTCTGGTATAAAATATACTAAAAACTTAAAAGTATCTCAAATATAAGATAGCTTAATGTATGATGAGATAAATATTACATAACACAAATTAATACATTAAAGTAGTAAAGGTAGAGGTTACAAGTGTTCACCATAAAATTGTTTGCTTTGTATGTTTGAAACTTTTCATCATTATCAAATAGTAAAGGGGTAGTTGAAACAACGGCCAATCATAATTCAACATTACAAAAATAACATGCCATTTATATTCATTCTCTAAGGGTATCTTCTCCAGAGTCGCAGAAATACACTAAGTAGAACTTTACAGGCTTTTAAGTCTTCTATTTTAGTATGGAAGTACACTTATTTCTTGTAATTCATCGACTTAAAATGTGGATCAACTAAGTTATTAAAAATCCTGTGTTTATACTGACCTTACAAGCCATCTCACTGGTTTGTAACATGTTTGTTTCCAAACAATTCCATACAGCTTTAATACGTCTTCGGAGTTTTGCTATTTTTGCCTAGAAGAAAAAGACAAAAATAAATACAAAACCAGAGCACTGAATAATGTATCACACAGAGATGGAGGAAAAACAATTTGCCACAGCAGTTTCCCACGACTACCAAACTCAACGAGAATTTTAACATAAATTTCAGATTTAAATTGTTTGATGCTTGTAGGACATTCAGATTGGATTAAAGACAAAAGCTTGCCATTTGCAACAAAACGAATGCTTAGGAAATAAGCCAGATGGAGAAAGACAAAAACTGCAGGATTTCACTCACATGTGGTAAGTAAACAAACAAACAGATGAACTGAAATAGAACAAAAATAAAACTGTGGACTATAGTGGTTACCAGAAGGAAAGAGGAAGGGTGTGTGGGATAACTCAAAGGAAATGTAAATGTTTATTTTTTTGTGATGCATCTCCAAAACATTATGATGAACTGTGACTTCAACTTTAAAAAAATGATGTAAAAATATAGAGGGATGGAGCCAGAAACATTATCTGAGGTGGTAGAAAAATGTGTGAACCAATTTCCAAGTGGTCCATAATAAAATGAATGTTTGCTAGACACACCAATACACCGATCAGCCAGGTAGCCCTAGAACACAATTCCCAAACTTCCTGGACCTACCACTTCCTTTCAGAAAAATATCACTCAGCACCTGCCTCAAAAACTACCTTCAGCCAATAAACAGGAGGTACTCCTCAACTGCACCAATAACAATTACCACCCTTTGAACTGTTTCAGTGGCCCTCAAGTGAGGCAGGATAATCCACTTTGTGAAACATTGCCCTAAATTTTTTTAATCTATTTTTTGCTTTTTGGGTCATACCCAGCAATGCTCAGAGGTTACTCCTGGCTCTGCGCTCAGGAATCACTACTGGCGGTGCTTGGGAGACCATATGGGATGCTGGGGATTCAACCTGTGTTGGCTGCGTTTAAGGCAAAGGCCCTACCTACTGTTCTATTGCTCTGGCCCTGACCTAAATTATTAAAACAAAACCAAAAAGCCAAAAAACTTGAAGTTGTCCAAGTTGTAACCAGTACAAAATGTATTTGAATAAAAAGAAACCACCTAAATATTAAGTCTGTCACTGAACTGAATGACAGAACAAATTTAAAGTATTTCCAAAGAGCCTATGCCACTGTTACAGTAGTCTCTATTACCCGTGATACATAGTACATTTAGGTTTGTGTACAGAAGTCAGATCAGTTACTGTTTCTCTTTCCTAACATGTAAACTGTCACCACAATTCTACATTTTATTTATTTTTTTACTTTTTGTTCCATAATTTTACTTATTTTTTCTTCTTATATTTATTTATTGAATCACTGTGGGAAAAGTTACTAAGCTTTCAGGTTCAAATCTTGGTCACACAATGATCAAACACCTCTCCTTTCACCAGTACGCATTTTTCACCACCAACAACCCCAATATACCCCCCTCCCTCCCCTCCCAATGCCTTGTGAGGCAGATGATTTCCACTGAACTCTTCCCTACACTGATTACATTATTTTGACAAAAGATGCACCATTATTGCTTAGAATCCCCCCCCAACAATCAGAATTGCTGAAAAGGCATTGTGAAATACTTTGCTTTCTATAGCTGGTTATGAGAATCATATGATGTCACGCAGCCGCAATTGTAGCCATGCAATTTTGGATTTCTGCGAAGAGCCAAATAATTACGAGATTGGTTTCTGTGCGTCTGGTGTTACGGCTGTGCCGGAGAGCTGCTTGTGGGGGGCAACTCATGACCTTGGTAGGGCATGAAGGACAAGCTGGTACCGCCCCCATTCCCATGAGACTGCAGTTGCCCCCTCACGGCTGGCTCATAACTGGCTCTCCAATAAGCTCTGCGGCAGTGGCCAACTTGCTGGGGGGGAGGGGGAAGGTGGGAGGAAGGGAGCAACACCCTTTCCATCCTGGGGAGGCATGGAGCCATAGTTTAACGCATGGTCCATTCACTTTTCTGCTGCAAGCTGCCGGGCTCTGGATTAAGTCCTTTTGCCTCTGAAGCCATGGCCGTGCCAGAGAGCCACTAGTGGGGGGCAACTTGTGACCTCGGTAGGGCGTGAAGGACGAGCCAGTACCATCCCCCTTCCCATGAGACTGCAGTTGCCCCGTCACCAACAGCTCATACCTGGCTTTCCAATAAGCTCTGAGGCAGCGGCCACCTAGCTGGGGGGGGGGCGGGGGAGAAGGCAGAACGGAGCAACGCCCTTTCCCTCCTGGGGAGGCATGGACCCATAGTTTAATGCATGATCCATTCACTTTTCTACCGGAAGCTGCTGGGCTCTGGATTAAGTCCTTTTGCCTCTGGAGCCATGGTCATGCCAGAGAGCTGCTTGTGGGGGGAAACTCGTGACCTCGGTAGGGCGTGAAGGATGAGCCAGTACCATCCCCTTTCCCAAGAGACTGCAGTTGCCCCATCACTGCTGGCTCATACCTGGCTTTCCAATAAGCTCTGAAGTGGTGGCCACCTTGTATGTGGTCCAGATGCATTTCTGCCAAAAGCCACTGGGTTTCGAGATTTGTTTCTGAGTTTCTGGGATTATGGTCGTAAATCAGCTTGATCAGGACCCAGAGAGGCCATTTGTAGGCAGTGACTCGGGGTCTTGCTGGGATGGAGAGGAAAGGGCCAGTTCCACCCCATAAAGTGAGGCCCCGCGTGTCTGGTCACTGCAGGCCCAAACCTGACTGTCCAGTGGCCTCTGAAGGATGGTGGTCACCGGGCCGCCAACGGGAACAGGCCAAGGCACGAAACCTATTCCCACCTGGAGTGGCCCAGTGCCAGTAACCTACTGCAGGAACAGGATGCATTTCTGCCAAAAGCCTTTGGGTTCCAAGATTTGTTTCTGAGTCTCTGAGATCATGGCCATTAAGCAGTTCGATCAGGAACCAGAGAGGCCATGCCTCCAATTATATAGCTGAGCCCAAGGTCATTTGTGGGTGTGTCTCCCACACACCTAACTTTTGGCTGTTTACTTTCTTGGTAAACTTTCCCCCAAGTTTTTGGGGTCTGGCCAAAGGCACAGCAGCAATTTTGGGGTATCTGAAAGTCTGACGGTGCCATCAGGCTGCTGATGCACTCGCCTCAGAGGTACAGATTGACCTGCTGGCGGCACCATACCCCCTACAATTCTACATTTTAAAAGGATTCAAATAAAATCAAATGTAATTAGAAACTTACAAAGAGTTCATCAGCTACTGCTTCATGTTTATTATTGCACTGTGTCTTCCCAATGCGTTCGTTCAATTCATTCAGTTTGTTATCAAATACTTTGCAATTCATATTACCAATCTCCTCTCGAATCAAAAGTCTGACCTAGAATTTTAAAATAAAAACCAAGACATCCCACATTTAAAATTTAAAAGCAATTTCACTTTCTACATCTTAAAACTAGCTTTGTTCTTGAATGAATCGACGGGGATCAATAAAGTACACTTCATAATTTTGTCCTGACCTTGCTCTAACTAGTACATTTTAGAAATACTGAATACCAAATTTAGTAGTGCGCACTAGTATTTAAATGGAAGAAATCAAATTCTCATTGTGCTAAACTTGTTTTCTGCAATTTCAGTTGAATTCCTTAATGCACATTGAAGGAGCAACAGCAGTCTAGATCCCACTTGTATTTTTAATGGCAACAAACCTAGTATTCATAAAAAGGAGCTCCATTTATTTGAAAACTAGAGCCCAATAAACATGGTTGCCCATAAAGAGTGGAGTTCTTAGGAAAGTCTGAGTATTGACCCTGTCATAAACAGGTGAGAGGACTTCTAAGAGGCCCAGGTATCTCTAAGCTTCAGTTTACCCAACCACATAGGCATAGGTGATGCAAAAATACCTGAATGATATTCATAAGACTTATAAAGACAGCATGGTAAAGGATCTTCAAACGTGAAACACTGAATTCATAGGATGGAAATAAAAAGGTAGGATAATCTTTACTTGAATAATTTTGTTTTTAAAGGGGAATGTGATGACTTTTGAATTGTTAAAATTCAAAGAAACCAGGAACAATTATGTACTAATAGAATCTGGCAAAACGCATGCTAGTAGCTACCAAATAAAATATTAATGCATTTCATTATCTCACTGAGTTTTAGAAAACAGACTGGCTTATTTTCTGGGAACATAATTTTATTTTCTGGGACATTCATCTCAATGTCCACCGATATTAACAGCGTGGTTGAGCCAAAAGTTCAGAAATATCCACTGTGAATTTTGCTCAGTGTAATTCTTGTAAACAACTTTCATAATAGGTAGTCTCTCTTATGATGAAGCCTATCATGATATACTTAACGTACTTATTAATTTTATTTCTTTCCCCTAGTATCTTGCTTTGTGGTGTTCAAAACTGGAATAGTTTTCATTTTAAACTCCTTAAAAGTGCTATCGCTTGAATGATTAAACACATTCAGTAATTTTGTTTGATTATTCCCAAAGTTTTTCCTTCTCACTCCCAATTGTTCTTGCTCGTCAACATTACTGTCTATTTGATTACTTCTGTAATGCAGCATTAACATTTTTCAATGGGTTTTCAGCAATTAAATGTGATTGTCATTGTTACTTCTACCACTTCAAAATATTTGATTACTTAATGCTCAAAATGTTTCATGTAAATACTCAGAAACACATACTTTTTTTTCCTTTTTGGGTCACACCCGGCGATACTCAAGGGTTCCTCCTGGCTCTGCACTCAGGAATCACTCCTGGTGGTGCTTTGGGGGATGCTGGGAATCAAACCCGGGTAGGTCATATGCAAGGCAAATGCCCTATCTGCTGTACTATCTCTTCACCCCCAAACACCATTATTTTTGCTCAAATCATTACCAGTAAGCCCAGGTACTGTTTTTATGAATCACTGCATTCCTGCCCCATTTACTGGCTGGAGTGAATCTGTAAAGCATGAATCTTAGAGGAACATATGTAAGTGTTTAAAACAAGAAAACACTGTTTACCTGATGAGCAAAGACCACATAGTGCCTGTCAAGCTTCCCTGATGAGGAGAATCATGGGATACTGAAATCACAAATACCTGGGTCCTACATTCACTAAATAGATTGTTGTGAAAGGGGACCAGGAAATTTATAACTAACCAGCACCACAAACGAGGCAGGCAAAATCTTAGTAAAGAGTAATCTAAAATAAGCATTTGACTATTCATGGAACTCAAGAAACAATAATTTAAACAAAGAATACTGCCAATTTAAATGGAGGCAGACTTTTTTAGGGAGTAAGTAGGGGTTTGAAGGCTATGCATACCATGTGCAAGGTGAGCACCCTACCTGCCATACTCTGGCTATCCTATCTTTTCCAGCCCTGAAGAAGACTGTTTTTTGAAAGGGTCACACTTGGGCATGCTCCGGGGCTACTCCTGGCTCTGCAGGCACAGTGTTCGGGGACCATATGGGATGCTGGGGATCAAACCTGGACTGACCATGTGCAAAGCAAGCGCCCTACTCACTATATTATCACCCTGGCCCCTGGAGGCAACTCTTAAAAGTTGATTATTTATACTAAAGGTCCACCAACCGGGTATTCTTCCTCATCAGACTAGACATTTGCACTCATTGAATGAGGTTCCTTGAACAGAAGATACAAGAACCTCTACCAAATACCTTCTGCCATGTTAAGTATCCAAAATGATGGAATCATATGAAAGTCCTCACTACAATTTGAAAAGGTCAGCAGCCAAAAGAGCCTAAGGAGTAAGGAAAAGCTGACAACTACATGGCTCCAATTTGCTTCAACTTTCTAAGATTGGCAGAAGAACCCTTCCACTTCAGTCATTTAATCCTTACCGACTAGGCCAAGATCCTCATAAAACCCTGAACAATGTGTCAGCAAATTTGGGAGCTCAGAGTAAAGAAGACCAATGTCAAGGAGGGAGGGAGGTCCCACTCCCCTGGGACTCCAACGAGGAAAGATGTACGAACAACAGTGGTTTAGGGAGTGAACTGGGTCAGAATAAAAATATGTGGGATATGTTAGGTAGTTAGAGCAAGTGAGGAGATAGGAGAGAGCCGAAAGTTGTCTCTGGAGAACATACAGAAACATCTAGTCGTTCAAGGGCTAATGAAATAAGCTGTATTCCCTAAACCTCCCTGGGCAAGACTTTTTTCTGTTGACCTGGTAGCCCAAAAAGGAAATTTTGTGAAGGAAATAATGGTAGAGGAGTATTAATTTTTGCTTAAGCACAGTGGTAGGGCATTTGCCTTGCGCGCAGCCAGCCCAGCCGGGCCGGGTTTTATTCCTCCGCCCCTCTAGGAGAGCCCGGCAAGCTACCCGTATTCAATATGCCAACAACAAGTCTCAAAATGGAGACGTTACTGGGCCCGCTCAAGCAAACTGATGAACAACGAGAGGACAGTGACAGTGATTGTGGGGGAAAAAAAAGAGTTCAAACACTGAAATGTAAAGTCTTTGTAGGGCCTCCTCAGAACTTATTTCTAAATTTAACTACTAATCATTGTGATTAAGACATGGATGGAATTTCCGACCATTTTATCGATTTTTGGGCTACCAGGCAGTGTTTAGGGCTTACTGTGGGCTCTGTGCTTAGGGATCAATCCTGGTGGGGCTAGGAGACCTAATGTGGGGCTGGTGATCAATTATGGATCAGCTGCATGCTAGACAAATGCCCACCTGTCGTTCGATCTCTCCAACGCCCCAACCATATCTTAAGCTAGATCCATGCTTATCCTAATTCCGCTACCCCTTCCCTTCAAGCGATTTACATATTTTTGTAAGTGTCTCATTTGGTCTTCCTGGGAGAAAATAAGAAAAAAAAAATTCTGGTCCCTTATAGTAAGACATAAAACTACCACACAGAGTCCTTTAGTTGTGGTTTTCTAAGGGTAATTAGCAAAATAAAACTGTCAAATAGGTTCCATTTGTAGGCCTACTAAAATAAAAGTTTATTTCATTTAAATTCTAAGTTGGATAGACCTGTCTAGAAATTGCAGTACAGGAGAGGAAAGGGAACAAAAATGAAAGCAAAACAAATCCTTAAAAATGTTATAAACTGGGGCTGAAGCGATAGCACAGCGGGTAGGGCGTTTGCCTTGCACGCAGCCAACATGGCCGATACAGGTTCGATTCCCAGCATCCCATATAGTCCCCCGAGCACCGCCAGGAGTAATTCCTGAGCGGATGAGCCAGGAGTAACCCCTGAGCATCGCTGGGTGTAACCCAAAAAGCAAAAAAAAAAAAAATTATAAACCAAGTATCAGAAAATGGAATCTATCTGTGTAAAGCTGGAAATTAGGGCAAGACAACCTGAACACATCAGGATTTCACAATGAACATTTAAATTGTCTGAATCTTTAAGGTCAATTTTAATGAGATCCTACAAAGCTATACCTGCAGATCAAAAAAACATCATGATCAGTACAAGAGAGACTGGACTGTTCAACAAAGCTCTAGGTCATGCAGTGCCTGACTCACAGAGATTTTAAACTAATACTGAACTAAATTGGCTCATTTTTTTCCAACCACAATTTTACCTAGGTTATTTTGAACTGCATCATTTTCAAGAAATAAAGAGAGGTTTTGGTGATGGGAATAATATTCTTTCCCTAATACAGCCTTCTGCTAAATGATTTTCACATACTAGTTTCCCACACTAGTAACAAGTGAAAATAATCAACAAGAAATCATAGTGAATAATTAACTTCTACCGTATTTTATTAACCTGAAGTGTTATTTATTATTTATTTATTTATTTATTTTTGGGCCATGCGTGGCAATGCTCAGGGCTTACTTCTGGCTGTGCTCAAGAACCACTCCTGACCAGCTTGGGAAACCAAATGGGGTGCTAGGGATAGAACCCAGCAAGGAAAACACTCCACCCACTGTACTACCGCTCTGGCCCCTCAACTGAAGTTTCTGACAAAAATATTAAAGCCCCAGCACTATACCTGATCCAGCAGTGCTGTTTGCTTTTCCAGAGTTACACAAACATTTTCATTAATTCGCTCTGAAGTTTTCAGGCGCTTAACATTTTCTTTGTTTTCCAAAAATATCCGCTTCTTTTGAATATGGCCTTGGAGAAAGTGAAGAATATGTGAATACAACTTTCTTTCCAACGGGGAAAACAGGGGAATTCTTTTATTCGGGGCACCACCAAGTCAATGGAAATATTCGTGGCAGCATTTACTCTGCTTGGGCCTCCCAAGCGATTCTAAGGGAGAGGGAGACTGCAGTGTTTGGCAGGGACAAGGTACAAAATGGTGCAGGGGAACTGCTCCTGACGATACTTGAGGGGTTCAGTGCTCAAGGCCCAGGGATGCAAAACATGGCAGTATATTTTCAAAAATTTCATTGTATAAAAAAATTCAGATAAGCTGGGCCCCAGGGATGGCTGAGTGGCCTAAGTGCCCATCTTCCAAGTGTGAGGTGGCAAAGTTTGATCCCTGGGGCAGCACATTTACAAGTGGGATCCAGTCAGCTCTGCTATTTGGGACATCTAGCACTGCAACAAAGAGAGTATCCCGCAGCAAATACTGCAACCAGAATGCATGCAAGCACCTCCCTGAAAGTTTGCAACCCAGCAGCGAACACCGTGGTTAAAGGTTCTAACCTCTAGGAGCAACACAACCAAGGACACATTTAAAAGCCTCCCTATACCTACCTCTTGTCAAGGCAACAAAATGGACCAGTGGTAGAATCTTGACACACTAGTGGAGGGACTGGGTAAAGCATTTTAAGTATGAAACAATCATTTCGAAAGTGTTGCAAACTATGAAACCTCAAAAAAAAAAAACACAGCAAAGAGGAGAGGGAAAGTGGAACTAAAACTTTTAATTTTTATTTTGGTTTGGAGGTCATAATCATTGTGCTCAGGGTTTATTCTTGGCTCTGTGCTCAGGGAGCACTTCTGGTAGGGCTTGGGGGGCCATAGTGGGTACTACGGATCAAACCCACGTCGCCGCATGCAAGGCAAGTACTTTACCTGCTGAACCAACTTTCAGGCCCATACATTTTATTTTATTTTATTTTAGCCTTTTGGGTCACACCTGGCCATGCTCAGGGGTTACCCCTGGCTCTGCACTCAGGAGTTACTCCTGGCAGTGCATGGGGAACTATATGGGATGCTGCGAATCGAACCCGGGTCGGTGCCGTGCAAGGCAAATGCCCTACCCACTGTACTATCCCTCCAGCCCCCAATTTTTATTTTTTATGAACAAAATAACAAAAGCATAAAACAGAAAAACCCTGCTATTCTACTACTTAAAAAATACTTTTGAATTCTAATCTCTGGTATACTTTCCACTCAACATTATACAGTAAGTAAAGGTAAAGGTAAAGGCCCTCCCGTTGATCGTCGATTTGCTCGAGCGGGCCCAGTAACGTCTCCATTGGAGACTTTGTTGTTACTGTGTCTGGCATACCGAATACTCTCGGTAGCTTGCCGGGCTCTCCGAGAGGGGCGGAGGAATCGAACTCGGGTCGGCCATGTTGGCTGCGTGCAAGGCAGACGCCCTACCCGCTGTGCTATAGACCATAAACTGATTACAGCACTTAGTTGTCTATTTGCAATTACTCAAATAGTCTCATATTTATAAAACAGTTACTTAGGCAGTCCCACATATTTTTAATAGACAACTATCTGAAAACAATTTAAAATTCTTCTTAAGTAATCAGTCCATAACCTAGACAAAAAAATTCATCCTTCAAAATCAGGTTATTCTTGTTTTTTTTTTAACCCACAGAGTACCTTTTAATGAAATTTGTTTTTCCTCATTTTATAGCCCTAGAACCTCATTACTCAAAAGCATCTGTCTTTACATATAATACATATTATCAGCTTGCCATATGGCTTATAGGTCAAATCAGTGGAAAGAAAGAAATTCAACAATAATTTAGAAATCCCGTTCTTTCAATCAGCCTTCTTATCAGTCTTGTAACATAACTTTAAAATAAGGAACATAAATAGAACAACCAATTGCAGTCGTCATCTTTGGATTTTGGTATTCTCAAGGAAAAGGAGTGCTTCTTCGCTATATTTTAGTTCCCTTTGGATATGTCAAAGGATACTGTTCCCCTCCGCACTCAAGATTTAAAAACAATTTATCCCCAAATAATATTACATTACTAACTCTTTGTCTAGTCTACAGGGCCCTATGGTTCTGATTCCCCAAAGGAAACTTTTAGATACACTATACATTTTAAAAGATACACTTACTGTTATTACTATCAGTGTCAAGTGATGAGAGCCTTGTTGAGTTCAAACTTTCACAGTGTATAATGCTGGAACTTCGGTTTCGACAGGATTCTTCACTTTTAAAAATGTCAGCAGCACAGTTATTGGGATTGACTGGATTTGCCAACTTTGGTATCTTATCAATAGGCACAAAATGGGTGTTTGCACTTAAATTATTTTGCCTTTTACCATGTGACTCGGAATCAGAATTTGTTTCTAAATAGGAAACTATCTTATCGATCCTCTTACCATCCAAACTATTGGTCACTGTAGGCCTTGGAATTTTAACTACACTATTCAGTTTAATAGATGGAGGGTACATGGATTTCACTTTATAATCTTCCTTGTGTTCACTAAAGGATTTTGATACATTTGTGTGGCATTCTAAGTGGTTTTCAAAAGTGTTTTGTGACTCTTTTGCCTTTTTCTTGATCAGTATGCAGGGAGAAGAACCTATTATTTTACTTGACTTTTGGTTAGGGCATACTGCTTGTTTTTCAGTGTATTCCAATCTTGTTTTTACATCAGCACTTTCTAGTTGCTTAATAAAATTCTGAGAGCATACTGAATTTTTGTTAGAACTCAGTAAGGAAGAATTATCAGACTGTTCATTGCTACTTATGACACCAGTATTTGAATTCGGATTACTACTTGACACATTATTCCCAATTGCTGCTATTTTCAGAGCATCGACATTCTTTGACTTATTCAGTAACTCTACTTGCTTCCAGCAACTTGCAGGCATTGTTTTTTTGGCTTTCAGTATCTTCCTTTTACTTTTATCTGAACTTGCCATTTTTCAAAACCTAGAATTCAAGACACCATAATTAAATGCATTTCTTCAGCAACAAAAGTTAATGTACTTTCAATATTAAAATAGTACTCAGATTACCGTTTCAGGGAGGTAATAATTTTTATTGAGAATTTCATGTTTTTTACCTGGGTTTAATCCCTGGCGTCCCATATGGTCCCCTCCAAGCAGGAGTAATTCCTGAGTGCAGAGCCAGGAGGAACCCCTGAGCATCGCTGGGTGTGACCCAAAAAGAAAAAAAAAAAGCAAGCTTTTTTTGGAGGAGGGGCTGGTTAGCGCACCCAGCAATGCTGAAGGGTTACTCCTGGCTCTGTGCTCAGGAATCACACTCCAGCCTGTTTGGGACAACGCATGGGATGTCAGGGATCAAACCCAGGTTGGCTGCATGCAGGGCAAGCACCTTACATGCTCTATTATCTCTCTGGCCCCTTAAGTTGCACTTTTTCATAAAGACAAAAAAAGTTTTATATATATAACATTCCATTTTCTACCCACTTGAGAATCTTTTCAACCTCCTAAAGTTCAAGAATTTGAGCATAAGATATAATTAAACCAATTCAAATAAGGAAGCCAAATCATTACTTAATACTTTCCAAAATTTGAGAAAAAATTTCTCACATAGTATAGAAAATATTGTTATCTACCTCTCAGAATTCACATCAAAGTTAATCTGAAAAATAGGTAATTTAAAAGATAAAAATACTGACAAATACAAACTAGACAAATCAAGTAAAAAATTAAAAGTAGTAACACATGATAGAACAGTTACCTACTAAAGTATAAAACATTTTATTCATTTAAAAGTCAAAGACAGTTGCAGAACACTTTTAAGACACAACAAAAGCGACCTAAAAAATATTTTCATTTATCACTACTTATTCATATTTACATTCCCCTGACCCCGAAAGAGCCCCTAATATGCCATCGGGCTACACTAGCACGTGACAGGGATGAATGGAGACGTTACTGGCACCTGCTCGAGCAAGTCAATGGACAACAGGGTGATAATGATAGTGATCTGTATTTCGGTTTGGGGGCCACAACTGGTAGTGCTTACAACTTACTCCTGACTCTGGCCTCAGGGATCACTCCTGGTGGACTGGGGACCCACAGGGGTTCCCAGGGATCAGACTCAGGATTTACTACACACAAAGCAAATCCTACCTATCCTTTGGTAGTACCCTTTGGTACTATTGCTCCAGCCCCTATTATTATTTTCTTACTTGAAATTTTCATTTTTTTTTTATTCCATTCAATCAGGAATAGGTCTAGGATTTAAGACCTGAAGGATGAGGGAACAGAACAAAATGAATCATAACAAATTCAAGTGTTAAAATCTGTTATGTTTCTATACCAGAAAATCCTTTAAACATTGTAATTTTATAAATGACTTGGTCACTGTCACTGTCACTGTTCTCCCATTGTTCATCGATTTGCTCGAGCGGGCCCAGTAACGTCTCCATTGGAGACTTTGTCGTTACTGTGTTTGGCATATTGAATACATCACAGGTAGCTTGCCAGGCTCTGACTTGGTACACTATGAAATTCTGCTGTTTCAAGTGAACATCTTAATAGATTTTGATGAAGACAATTTCTGTTGTCTCCCATGGGGTGAATGCTGAACTAAGTCCTTTCCTTTACAATGGTTAATTCAAGTTTTTTTTTTCAGTTGATAATTAGAATACATAAAATATATAGCTTTTCCAGTGAACTTACCAGTGGTAGTTCTATACAAACAAAAATTTGTGACTTTCTGACTGTAGTTATTGAATATATTTCTAACAAAAGGAAAGTTCTTTTTTTTGACTGCAAATTAACAATAACTGTCACTGTCACTGTTCTCCCGTTGTTCATTGATTTGCTTGAGCGGGCAAAGTAACGTTCTCTATTGTGAGACTTGTTGTTACTGTGTTTGCCAGGCTTTGCCCTGCAGTTGAGATATTCTTGGTAGCTTGCTGGGCTCTCTGAGAGGGGCGGAGGAATTGAACCCGGGTCGGTTGGGTCGGCCTTGTGCAAGGCAAATGCCCTACTGGTGTGCTATCGCTCCAGCCCACTTCTGTTTGTTTGTGGGGGCATATCTGGTGGTGCTCAGAACTTACTTCTGGTCTGTGCTCAGAGATTACTCCTGGTGGGGGGTGGGTGCCAGGGACCAAACCAGGTAAACTATGTACAAGGCAAGTGCCTTCCCCACCGTACCATCTCTTTGCACTGCCCCTGCAACTTTTAAAGACCAGATGATGAAATTTTTTTCCTATATTCTGGTTTCATAATTTTTTCCGTTTTTTATTTTATTTTTGCTACAAATGGCCATGCTCAAGGATCACCACTATTGTGCTTGGAAGACCATATGGGATGCTGGGGATTGAACCCAAGTTGGTTGCACCCACTGTACTATTGCACTGACCCCCTATACATTTCAATCTTTGGTTTCTTCAACTTAGATTTCAATAAGGTAAAGGTAAAGGTAAAGGCCCTCCCGTTGATCGTCGATTTGCTCGAGCGGGCCCAGTAACGTCTCCATTGGAGACTTTGTTGTTACTGTGTCTGGCATATCTTATACTCTCGGTAGCTTGCCGGGTTCTCCGAGAGGGGCGGAGGAATCGAACTCGGGTCGGCCATGTTGGCCGCGTGTAAGGCGAACGCCCTACCCGCTGTGCTATCGCTCATCAAGCACAAACATATCACACCTTTTCACAATTAGACAGACTGGCGGTAATTACCTTTACTAAACAGACTGAACCACAAAAGTATCCCATTAAATCCACTCTAAGTATACAGCCAGGAAACACAAAGGTAAGACAAAACCAAAATAAAGAGTGAAGTTTTAAATATTCACTGTTAATCTTATTTTCTAAGTCTTACAAAAATATTCAATTAAGAACACGTTGCTATTAGATCCGTGTCTGGACCTATGGGAAAGGCCAGGTTAGTGAAAAGCCCTACATACGTTGGGGATCAATATGCCTCTCTACATTTGATGCATGCAACAAACATGTAATCTGTTAGTTAAAATTATAATGTACTGACTCTATGAAATACCACTCAACCAACTACTACAATTTCCACCTTTCTAATTTCCTATAATGTGCCTCAAGACAATATAATGTCTTGTCTTTTTTCCTATTGGACAGTTTTCCTTATTTATTATGAACAATAATTCTTTATTAACATTTTATGAGTTAATCTTTCTCTCTGACTTGTCTTTACCTTTCTTAACTGGATAAATTTATCCTTTTAATTTACTTATGGCTGAGGAGTAATTTCTCGTCTTTGAAAAATACTATCCTGCTGTCTGATAATCTACGAAATGAGGCCTACTCCTTAGAAAAGCCATCTTCTGCTTTTGGTTACTGAAGGAATGGTTCCATACCATGGCAGTGCAATATTAAATATAAAACAGGAATGTAGAACTCAGAAGTGAATGAAGAATTATCTCCAGAGCATGTAATTGGTCACAAGAGTGTGCAAATTGGTAGTTGATGAAACAGGTACTGAGGAGACATATTTTACTTGTAAAAACCTCAGTACAAGAATACTAAAGAAAAAAAGAGTAAAAGGCTAAGGGAAGTTAAATACTGTAAATGCCTCAAATGTTGAGTATTTATTTATATGTTGAAAAGAGGTTTAAATTGTGCCCCAGAAAATCACGTACCTAGGAATCAGCTTAACTAATGAAGTAAAGGACCTGTACAAAGAAAACTACAAAATGCTACTTCAGGAAATAAAAGAGGACATGAGAAAATGGAAAGATATCCCCTGCTCATGAATCGGGAGAATTAACATTGTCAAAACGGCAACACTATAAAAATTCAATGCGTTCCCTATAAGGATATCCATGACATTCTTCAAAGAAATGGAGCAAACACTCCTGAAATTCATATGGAACAATAAGCCCCCACGAATAGCTAAAGCAATTCTTGGGAAAAAGAAAATGGGAGGAATCAACCTCCCTAACTTCAAACTCTACTACAAAGCAGTAATAATTAAAGCAGCATGGTACTGGAACAAAGGCAGAGCTGCAGACCTATGAAACAGGGTTGAATATACTGACATCTCCCCTCAAACATATGATAATCTAATCTTTGACAAAGGAGCAAGAAATGTGGAGTCAGAAAAGCCTCTTTAACAAATTGTGCTGACAAAACTGGAAAAACATGCAAAAAAAATGGGCTCAGATCTCTGCCTAACACCATGTACAAAAGTAAGTTCAAAATGGATTAAAGACCTCAACATCAGACTGGAATCCATAAGGTACATTGAAGACAAAATTGGCAAAACTCTTCATGAAGCTAATGGTATCTTCAAAGATGTCACGCCACTAGCCGAGCAAGTGAAAACAGAGATAAGACAAATGGGACTATCTTAAACTAAGAACCTTCTGCACCTCGAAAGAAACAATGACCAAAATACAAAGACAGTCTACAGAATGGGAAAGGATATTCGCCCAATACACATCCGACAAGGGGTTGATATCAAGGATATATAAAGTACTGGTTGAACTCCACAAGAACATCCAACCCCATAAAAAAAAGGGGGGGGCAATGAAATGAACAGAAACTTTCTTAAAGAAAAAATCCAAATGGCAAAAATGCACATGAGAAAATTCTCTAGATCATCTCTAGACCAGGGAGATGCAGATCAAAACCACAATGAGATACCATCTCACACCACAGAGACTGGCCCACATCCAAAAGAACAAAAGCAACCGGTGCTGGTGCGGATGTGGCAAGAAAGGGACCCTCCTTTACTGCTGGTGGGAATGCCGACTGGTTCAGCCCTTTTGGAAAACAGTATGGACGATTCTCAAAAAATTAGAAATTGAGCTCCCATTTGACCCAGCAATACCACTCCTGGGAATATATCCCAGAGAGGAAAAAAGTATAGTCAAAGTGACATCTGCACTTGTTTGTTCATTGCAGCACTCTTTACAATAGCCAGAATCTGGAAAAAACCTGAGTGCCTGAGAACAGATGACTGGTTAAAGAAACTTT